AGGGCAGTTAGAAAGCGCGTTTTCGGTTGTGTAACGGGTACTTCCATTGAAGAATGTGTCCAGCACCAGAAGCTGCGTTGTTGGGACATGTGTTACGCATGCCGAACCATCGTTTACCGAAGAGAGTGCTGTTTTCCATGCCCAACTCAGAGTGGCATAAACAGAGAGGTGGCCAACCCTTGACTTGGCAGAGGAATCCTTCCAGGATGGGGACCGCGTGATCCTCACTGTGCCTGGTTGGAGACACTACAAGAGATGGCTGCCAACCGATGTCAGTGGCGTTCTTGTTGTCAGTTTCTATCCAGATTGCCTGAGTGAATGTCTGGAGGTGTAGGCACCTCGGAATGATTGTGTTAAGCTAGCATTGAGTCCCTTCCCCGTCCACCTTTATTCTTTTCTTTACAATAAGGCTTTCAAATAAGTCATGGTTGTATGGCAGTGAAGCACCGGTGTTGAATACTCATGTCATGTTGTCGATGATGATGATGATAATGATGATGATCGTTCAGGGTCCTCAATCTCTCCAATCAAAAGGTTTGAACATAAGCATGAACATGAACATGAACGTCCTTGACAGCAAAACTTCATTTAGAGGAATGCTCCTCACACCCCAGTATTCTCGTGTATTGAGAACTCAAATGAGGTGCTATGTTCACTAACTTCCGAGGTATTCGTTGCTGGACCAATAAACCAAGGAGGACGCACTAGTGAACAAGGAGAAATGCACGCTAGAAATTTAGGAGTTCCAGAAATTTGGGTTGCCTATAGTTTGCCGTTTTTGTAGCACCTGATAGATTGTGATCATGCGGCCTCTCTCTAGCCTGAATGCAGGTGGGTGCTCTCGAGCAAATGTATCATAGACTGTTTTAATACGATGAAGGAGGAATTACATTGAGTCTCATTATAAGTGGAATAAACTTAATCCTCTCTGAGTGCCACATTCACCGTTTTTTGAAAATTTGACACTACTGTCAATTCATACCGGTTGTCTTCGATGGGCTTAGTTGAGCTTTAAGTTTACTAGATAAACAACATGCACAAAAGGTACGTTGTTTGCGGCTGCCATGGTTTCGGTTCCCGGATAATGGGAGATGTAGCTAAGCATTGAAGGTGATGACATCATCACTCTGCACTGCGTATTGACCTGAAGGAACGGGAGTATGGACAGCAACACATCGAAATCTTTTCTTTACAATAAGGCTTTCAAATAAGTCATGGTTGTACGGCAGTGAAGCATCGGTGTTGAACACTGATGTCATGTTGTCGATGATGATGATGATAATGATGATGATCGTTCAGGGTCCTCAATGCAGGTGGGTGCGCAAATGTATCGTAGACTGTTTTAATACGATGAAGGAGGAATTACATTGAGTCTCATTATAAGTGGAATAAACTTAATCCTCTCTGAGTGCCACATTCACCGTTTTTTGAAAATTTGACACTACTGTCAATTCATACCGGTTGTCTTCGATGGGCTTAGTTGAGCTTTAAGTTTACTAGATAAACAACATGCACAAAAGGTACGTTGTTTGCGGCTGCCATGGTTTCGGTTACCGGATAATGGGAGATGTAGCTAAGCATTGAAGGTGATGACATCATCAGTCTGCACTGCGTATTGACCTGAAGGAACGGGAGTATGGACAGCAACACATCGAAAGCTATGGATTCGATGCGCTTTCCGCTTTTCGTTTCACCGAGTTGGATGGCTTGGTCAGATAGCTGTAAAAGCTGAAAGCATGGCTTCTTTAACTCGCTTCCAAAATCCAACCAATCTTCATTAGAATGATTGTTCATTTCCAGTAGATCTCCAGCTGGATCAGTTGGTTACTGTTGAGTCAATTAAACCCGTCGAAGTTGAACGGAGTTGCTCTGCTTCGGCGGGGTAACGCCGACGTAAGTCTAGGTAATAACCGGGCTCGCATAATGTCATGGTCGGAGTCAAATTGTGTACCCCAGAGAGAACCGAAGCCTTCAAATGAGACTCTCCATCGACAGCCGATAGCCAAATGATCCAACCGAGTCCATGACTGCATTGTAGTGGTGGCCTCCAAATAAATCAGTGTAAGCGTTTGTACTGGGAGCTTGTACTGGTCAGGAACAGACCAACAGAACAACTGCACACAACTGAAGTTGCTTTTAGTTTTCTGTATGCTCGGTCACCTAATTATGTTTCATCCGGTCTTAATCGTCCACCCATCAAGATTACTTACCGAGGTAGCCGCGACAGATCTTGGTGAATGTCGTCCTTAGATTCAGAACTGCCGTCCGTTGGGCGTATCCTGACTCCAAAAGTAAACATTTACTACATCGACTTGTATTGATCTTCATTGAGCCAAGCAGCCATGCAACGCAGAGGATTGTCTACTGGTATCCAGTCCAGGAAGGCGTTTTCAGCCTTGAGACACCGCAGATGCCACGAGCCATTGCATCGGGATCACTACGTACTCGGAGAGTGAAATGTGGAACATTTGAGCTTGTCCTAGGTGGCTTGAGTTACATGACTGGAATGGGAGTCCTTTAGGCGTGTTTCGGAGACGCGACGTTCATCGACAGAAAGGGAAAACAATGTCTTAGCCTGAGATTCCCTTTTCTCAACTTGACAAAACGTATGAATACTGAACATGGCTAAGGTCTTTTGAGTATACTTAGCGGTTATTCTGGTGTATTTCACTGGACACACTCCACCCTTCACACCTGCAAAGTTTAAAGTGCTCCTACAAGACTGGGTAAGACCATACCCAAATCCCTTGATTGCGGATGAGCTAATCGTCGTGGCAGATAAGTTTGTTTGCTTGGGTAGTTGTATAAGTTCCGTTTGACCGATAAGAGATGAGATTACTGCTCAATTCGGGAAGGCCAAGGTGGCCTAAACCAACCTCCCATACTTATGACCTCGATGTGACGTCAGTTTGTCAAGGGCTGAGTCTGCACTGCGGCATTGCGTTCCATACGGCTTTATGGATCAAAGACGTGACCTCTATGCACAGAGAACATACGAAAGATGTCATTGACCGTTGTTTTCTCCGGATCTGGTGGAACATCAGATTAGCAATGCTCAGGTACGCGAGATGGGAAGGAGGAGGTCTTTCATGATAGATGAATTGCTCACGCTTCATAAGCTACGCTGATTAGGACGTGTACTGCACATGCCAGGAGACGGTTTGTCTCAATGAGCTCTTTTCACTTAGGCCTTTACTTTTTGTGGAAGTGATCAATAGGTGGACAGTGTATGCCCTGGCGGTCAAGTATGAAAACACTAACCACTAAAGTGAGTCGGGTCGAAAACTGCCGCCGCGGATGGGGACCCCGGAACTCAACTCATCAGTGATCATTGACACTTGCGGAAATGGTCCAATCGCGCAGCCAGTGGTGCTGGTGCATCAAAGCTATTGCCTTCAATGCGTAGCTATTCATTTCCAAAACTCACTGAACATGTGATCGCCTCCAAGGCCTGGGTGTATGTCCCGCACTTCTAATTTCCGGTGATCGATCAGCTGAGACCATTGTGCCCGGTTAATAACTGATTAATTGAATTGAATTGATTTTGCTGGAAGATAGTTTAGACATGAGACTGGTTGGGGGACTAAACGATGGGTTGACTGCAGTTCATCATTCGATAGGGGGCTGTGTTTGAGGGCAAGTAGAAGTGCTAAAACGGCAGATGATACTTCCCGGGTGTTCAGGTCGAAGAAGGGGGCTTGTCGCGGTACCCACTCACAATTCCGAACCACAAAGCGGTGGGAGAATGTAAGGTTTTGTGATTGGTCCCTTCCCCTTAGCATCTAACTCAAAAGTTTGAACCGCGAGGCAGTGGTTGTTGTGGTCTTCTTGAAGGACCCTTCCCGGGGTCAATAAAGCAATAGTCTGACCAGTTTGACTTCAAGGGGTTGGCCTGGCTTGAAGTTGCAGGGAGTATACCTTACTGCTCGATTCCTACTGCGGCTGATTACAGCGACCACCCTGTAAGCGTCACCAAACTTCTTGGTTTTGGAAGTGTTTCAACCGTACTGAATAATGCGCTGCTGGTCACGGTCAACCTTGGGGGTAATCGGAATATGCGACCTTTAGGTCCGGTCTTTTCTATCTCGTTGTTCCTGGAGGGTATGCACTCGCTGCTTCCATGAATATGAACACGCTTGGTGCCTGAAAGAAACACCTTATTGCCTTTACACGTCTATCACCGAGACCAATACAACTTCACTTCCGCACCGCTTCGCAGTACGTGGTCGAAGTACGCTGACTCATTGTACTCCGTTGGGCTGCTCCTCTTGGGCCTTTCAGGCATGGCAAACGTTGAGGGCGAGTTGGCTTAGTGGTTAGAACGCGAATTTACCGACCCGAGGGTCCGAGGTTTGAATCCGACTTCCGCATCTCGACTTCCCCAGTCTAGGCTTGGACAACCTATCAGTACCCCAGCCCTCCTGCTACCTTCGGGTAGGCACCAAACGGTGTTACAACTGGACGATTCAGAAAGTTGAGGAGCTGAGAAGAAACTTGACCTTACCATGGTATGGTGGTTTGTTTGCCTCCGTGATCCATTGGCCTTTACTGGGGATCTCCGTGCAACACTCGCAAAGTCTGACAGGTTGGTCACTGGTCAGAGGTCTTACCAGAACAGTCTCCTGGCTCTCCAGTTTGGGGGTTGGAACACGTTTGGCAACTCGTTTTATGAAAATGGTAATGCAGACATTTCCCGCCAAACGCCACTGCCTTGCGGTCAGACTTCGGAGCCAAAGACACTTATCGAGGAGTCTTATCGTCTTTCTGTCTGGGTTTAGGCGCTTTGGCAGTACATCAGCCCGCGTGCAACCATCTTCCTACGATACATTTACAGCAGCGAAGCCTCATTGTTGGACACAGGTGTGGCGCTCTCTGCGATTATGATGTTGTTTGATTGGATTATTCCGCCTTAAGCTCTTGGCTCAAGTCTGACCCACAAGGCTAGCCAAACGCTGAGTGAGGATTTCAGTCTCATACTAACAAAGCGGATGGGAATTCCTCCGAACATGGAGCTTTTTGGACCCCGGAGAAGTATATTTCTAACGGGATTCAATGTGCATCTTTCGGGGTTCTGTTTTTCTTAAAATATTCTTTTGAGAGTCGGACTAAACAGCAGGAGGTTGCCACTTGAATTACTCGTCATGGTGCTCGGTTAAGCGACCGAGATAAAATTGCTCGGGCTGATGCTCGAGAGTTTCACTCACGAAAGGTTTTCAAAGGTGAGGCGTACAGAGTTTCAGGCATTCGCGGCCCGAAACTAATGTTCTAACAAATCATAATTGAGGGTGACTCAGTAATTTACCAACGGTTGGCAATATTTGCTTGTGATTGACTGATTATATCTCGGAAATCGAAAACAAGTGCCAGTTCTATTCCAATACGGCGCCGAGTTAGTGGACCGCACTGCCAGGTTAGATTACTCTAGGTGGCTGGGTCTGCCAACCAGCTTCTGTTTGTGCTATGACAATGAGGCGTGGTGGAGCAACTAAGACGAGAACAACAAGGCCAAGTTAAAAAAGAAACAAAATATCGCAGTATAAACTGAAGAGGCCATGTCGCAGAAAATTTTGGGGATGTTCGTTGCAGCGAATTTATTGCATGACTATATCCATCGATCATAGCAGGTTTACTATAGAGTTGGTTTCCTTTTTTCCAGTTTCTGTGTCATAATGGTTAATGCTGGTTACTGATGCCTCAAGTATGGCACTGTTAACAGCGGCACGTAGGTTACTTACAAAGTCTTGTGCCCACGCACTTCTAACGGTTTCAGTCGGTGCTTTTCTTTACAATAAGGCTTTCAAATAAGTCATGGTTTTACGGCAGTGAAGCATCGGTGTTGAACACTGATGTCATGCTGTCGATGATGATGATGATGTACGAGGTAGAGAACGGGCGATTATGTATGATGTCTTAAACACAGCAGTACTTGCAGTCATTGTGGTGAAGGAACAAGACTTAACAGTGGAAAAATATTTTCTTGTAGGACGAAACGTGTTTAGTAAAAAAAGATCGTCCATTGATCAAGCCTTTGTTGAAATTAGTTCGCCTCACTAGTGACGGGTCCTTCCTTTCGCACTCAATTCAGATGGAAGGAATGCCTTTGCACTGCTGTACGGTGTCCCTAAATAATAAAACTTCTAAAACAATGATTTTGCTGCGGCAATATTCACTTCTTTTGACTGTTACCTCTCGGGTTTGTTTGGAATTCAATTTCAGACACCAATAGGTTGTCATATAGCCGCGATTCTTGAGTATACGAACGAACGTAGAATTGGGCTGTGGTATTGTTACGGATGAACTATCGATCCCGATTGAGCGCGAGAACAAGAGTGAATAGCGTAGAAGGAATAGCGGTTTATTTGTCTCAGAATAGACGTAAATAAGCTGATGGTGAAGGTGAAAGCATGGTTAATTCGAAACGACAATGTGAACACAAAGGGTAGTCATGACAGGTATCCATGTATTTTTCTTATCCGTGACAATCCTATGGAATGTCACTGGCCTCGCCGGCACTGTGGAACCACTCGGATCCTTTCTGTCAAGTCTTCTTTTTTAGACTTCTAAAATCGAGATTTAATTACCTCGTTACGCAATATCTCAAAAATTTTGCCTTGGTGCATGGCATCTTAAATGCTGATTTTAGGATTGCTTAATAAAATATGAATGATGCTCATCCTGCTTCAAATCACATCAGTTATGAATTTTTCGCCTCCAGAGTTAGAACGTGCATGAGAAAACAAAACGCGGTACTACTTGAAAGGTTGAAAACTTCGACAGTCTATAACTGGTCTCGCAGTTGGGGCTCATCATGTGGATGCAGTATCGACAACCTTTTTTACTTAGTTGAAGGATATCGTAAACGAGAGATTCAGTGGGTATCCAGTTGAGTCTCCCGTCAAAACTGAACTAGTATGCAAATTAGTATATTCAGCTGAAGACAAAACGTATTTTGTCGGCCCTAATTTCCAAATATAATCATCACCTTGCTCAAGTTCGATGCCTGTCAAACACCAGAGATTTCGCAACATCGCTAACAGAATCTCCTTCGTGATCATAGCTAGTTTGGAAAACTCACTGTTGACCGTGGCCTCAGGTTTAGCGACACCGTCCGTTTTAGTAAACATTGAGATTAACTAAGGATTCCAGTATTAGCTATTGTAGCTAACAAAATGCCTTTTCACGGATTTGCTCGTCAATTTTCGTCACCCGGATCAACAGGTGCACACTTATTGAAGGTGAAAGGAAATCCAGTTTTTTAGGTATCAAAGTCCGATACTGGATATGACAACGGTACTCAATCAAATGTGTCTGCTTTGTTCCATAAATGAGTCACTCTGTGATACTCCTTTGAAGGAACTTTAGCAGCTTCTGATTGTTTACACCGCGATCGGTCGCAGATTGTTTAGGTATCGGTCTGTCCACTCCGCTGACAATTTCTTTGAAGGACATATTCCCTTCCGGTTTAGTTTCCACACTGACGTCTATAAACTCGTTCCGCGTCATCTACTTAGGAATGCCCCTTTTTACGACCCTGGCGTGGTAGTGAAAAAGTTCAAGGGAATTATCTGCCGGGTTAATTTTTACATTGTTTATAGTATCGGAAGAACGATGTTTCGTAGACAAGTGTGGCCCATTGCCGTTTATGGAATCGAACGAACTCTCAAAAGCCTGTAAGCCCTTTCAACTGAACCAACTCACTGACCTTGAGTGGTACAGTCTGCATCAACACATGCTGGGTTGAGGCGTTCATATTCCATGATAAGCGTTTGATGATGGTGTTGGATATCAGCTTGAATGCTGAGGGACCTATGGAGTGTTTGTTTGTCCTAGCTATGTCATCCCCCAAGTAGGCATCTGTGATTATTTGCTATAATCGTGCGCACGTACTGTTGAAGCACCCACGTACTCACCGCCTTTGTCTGTTTGATTGACTGTGGTTCGATTATGGTTCCAGTATGGTGCAAGTCCGCGAGAAACTCTCATACAAGCCCATCACTTCCAATGGTGTCAGGCCGGACTGTTCTTTAGCACCCATCCTTTCTAACCTCATCATCGGAGTACTAGCTGTCTTTGACACCTTCGGATTATGATGTTTACAGGGCTTCCGGACTTAATGTTCTTCTGTCGTTGGTCACTAAATACTCGGAATTCTTTGTCTGGGTTCTGAAGTGTCTAAGCGTTCGTTTTCCTGTTAGTTTGAGGTAGGTTGTTAGGGAACGAGGTTGTTGGATGTTCCTTCTCGATTCGAAGACTTCTGAACCGCTTTTATAAACGTTTTCCATTCTGACAACTATAAGGGAGGTGTAGAATTTGAAATTTTGTAACATTATTGGTGTAATTTCCGGACGCGAACCATTCCTTTGCGTTTCTGATGTGACCGGGTTTCATGGGTCTGCTTGAATGGGCGCAAATCTACAGGTTCCTTCGTACGTGACTAGTGTATGGTAAACTTTCGGCACAATGCTCGGGGTATACTGTGCATCCGGTGTAGATGAGATCCTCGCTAAAATATTTCAGGCTAGACGAGACGCTCTGTTTCACTAACTCACCAGCATCCGGGTACCGGAAAAAAACTACCAGCCAGACGGTCTGTTTTGATTGTNTGGGTTCTGAAGTGTCTAAGCATTCGTTTTCCTGTTAGTTTGAGGTAGGTTGTTAGGGAAAGAGGTTGTTGGATGTTCCTTCTCGATTCGAAGACTTCTGAGCCGCTTTTATAAACGTTTTCCATTCTGACAACTACTATAAGGGAGGTGTAGAATTTGAAATTTTGTGACATTATTGGTGTAATTTCCGGACGCGAACCATTCCTTTGCGTTTCTGATGTGACCGGGTTTCATGGGTCTGCTTGAATGGGCGCAAATCTACAGGTTCCTTCGTACGTGACTAGTGTATGATAAACTTTCGGCACAATGCTCGGGGTATACTGTGCATCCGGTGTAGATGAGATCCTCGCTAAAATATTTCAGGCTAGACGAGACGCTCTGTTTCACTAACTCACCAGCATCCGGGTACCGGAAAAAAACTACCAGCCAGACGGTCTGTTTTGATTGTTCCGTCCATATACACTGAGGTATCGAGTAGACTCCAAATCTCCATTGGATCAGCTGCATATATTTAGCATCGAAAGTCTTGGTGACCACTATCATTTGCTCAACTTCTGTTCCTCCACTGTTAACCGCTCTATTAACTCTTGGGTCGTGATTAACAAACTAGCTTTTGTGTTGACAAGGCTGCATTGAACGAATCTCCATATGACAGCAACTTCTACACACTTACCAGTGTCCATTGATCATCGTTTTTCTCGGTTGCATTCGGCGTTGTGAACGGAACGTCTCTATGGGATCGCCTGAGGTAATGGACAACACCAGTCAAGCTATTCAGCATGTGCTGAACACTTGACAGGGAAGCATCGGTCGAGCCAAGTGTACGGACAACTCTTCCAACCGTTTACTATTACTAATGAGGAACATTAGAACCCTATCTAGCAGGATCAGGAATACTGACTGTAATCTTGACTATCATTGCGGTTAGGAACGGTTTACATATTATGCAGAACACAGCCGCTTGGCAACGAGAATAAACTGATATGAAATGCATTACCATCAAAGTGGAAAGTGGTTACTCGGGACCGGTCCGGGCCTACAGTCGTGCCATCAATTATGAACGAAACGCTTCGGGCTGCCGATAACTTCGTCTACCAAGAAGTCGGATAGCCGCGAAATAAGATATAACCTCTAGGATCACTGTGTGAAGGCCCGAAATCGCATTAGACAATCTTCAACACCTGTAGAGCGCTGAGACACCAACCCTTCTGTGAAAGGACGCATGTACAACCGATCAATTGCCGCTGGTACCCCCTGTAGACATAGAAGTTAGAATCTCCCAACTGGATGTATTGCTGGCCAGACTATCTTTGATCGGAATATTCTTGCCCATCTCTTGGGGTCCAAGAAAAGCTGATTACCCCTGACAGTTATGGAGCTCGAGGGAGCTCAGTGGTTAGGCGCCAGCTGATTACCCCTGACAGTTATGGAGCTCGAGGTAGCTCAGTGGTTAAGGCGCCAGCTCATGGAACGGAAGGTTCGTGGTTCAGCATCTCGTCTGCTCCTGTCCATGCTTGAGCAATCAAGCGGTATTCCAGCCATCCTGCCTCCTTCCGTTGGCAAGCCAGCTAGGCACCGAAAGGGGGCTGCAGCTGAACGATTTATGGACCAAACCCCCAATCAGTGGCGCACTTGTGCAGTAATAAATAGTAGCAACAGTAACAAGTCCTCATTGTTCTTCGTTTGGTTTATAAATCGCCTAATTTTCAAAACACTTTCCAGAACTGCTAAACACAGGCTTTACTCAGCTGTTCACTATGTATGTGTCCACGCGCCCTCGAGTTCACCCAATGCTTATCGATACTCAATAGCTGTCTTTAAACTATTAACTGACATTTTGCGTTGAACAACCTTTTCAACCAGATCGCGCGAGCTAAAGCGAAGTCTATTTCAGCACTCATCCTGATATAATAGCAATGTGCGAATAAGAATTGACCATGCTCTGTGAGGTCCTCAGAAGACAGACATTTGATGTGAACTCTTATTTGATTGTTTAACGGCTCTTTGTCTCTCTAAGTATAGTTTCAGGCTGCAATACCCCTCTGAGGGTCCTACTTCACTCCGTTCATCGTCGCCTGATTTGGCGCTCAACGAGACAGAGATATCACCCTTATTTGCCTTTCACAGGACCTCTGCAAATTTGCCTGCCAATTTCATAAACGCTTTCATTGAACGGACTCGCATCTTCCCCCTCACCTTGTCACTTTACCTACGACGTGTCTAGTTAGCACTATGATTCATCCTTGGTCCGAAATTGCTTTGGGACTCATATTCGTTCATTTTGAATCTGTGCATTATACACAGGTCTTGGATCAACACATTTTTCGCTTACCGTAATACCCGCGAACCAACCTGTTCTACTGGGCCAGAAGGTCATTCTGACATGTCAGGTCAAAGGTTTCAAACGTCCGCTTGACTATGCTGTCTTGTTCAAACGTAAGGATGTGGGGATTTCGGAGAAATGCCAAACGTACCAGAAAAACAAATATCACTTGGAATGTGAGCCGAACAACTGGCTTCAAGCAACCACTTACAAATTGTACATAAATTCGGTTTCTTGGGCAGATCGAGGCGATTGGTTCTGTGTATATGCGGCCAATCTGACTCGACAACATTTGGTGGTCCATGGTAAGTTGGCTCGTTTGCTATCAAGACGTTTTATGAATACTTTTCTTATTCAAAGTTTGTCAGCTTGCAGTAAAAGTAAAGGAACAGTGTACTGCTATTTGACCAGCTTAGCTTCTTTGCGTACTTGAGCTCTCGATAACGTATAGGTGATGAAGGAGGAACACACGGAGAGGTGTGCATACTTGGTTCTTTTCAAGTAACTCGCTAAGAGTTGGAGAGGACCATGGAAACTGAAAACTCTGGAATTTCCTAGTTTCACATTTTTTTCACGCTGTCCGTCTACGCTACTTGTCATTTTTCCAGGTCTACAAAGTCCGCATAAATTTATCCAATGCTTTATGTTTTGGCATTCAAATGGGCGAAATAGTATACGACATTTAAGAAGACCCTTGAAAGTTTTTTTTTCACATAAACTGTTTCCATCGCCGGTGCGATTCGTGGTGAGACCGCGAGTCGAATTTACCAGTAAAATATTTGTAAGTTTTCTCCAGCATTTTGGGCGATACGGGTAGCTCATAATAGTAGGTTTGATTTAGCATTGGGTACATCGCTTTGCAATGCTCTCGTATTTCTACCAAAGAATTATCTTGTTGGGATTTCAGAGTAGTGAGGCGTCAATATTGGATTACCTTTGTCGCTGAGGAAGAGTTTCGCAAGGTGGTATGTCCTTTCGGATAACACAATCTGTCGGATGTTCTCGCTTAGCTTATAGAATTTCGGGGGACAATGGTTGATATCCAAGTCGGTGTCATCGTGGTTTTTTATTTGGCTGTCTGGATCGACAGTATCAGGAGTCTTGCAATTTCGCAAACTCTACCTTTGATTCGGGCTACCTGATGTTAATGCACCTACCCCATTCGGACCCTTGGCACATCCGTCATTTGGCATTTCCACTGCGATCTCAAAGAGAACAGTGGCCATCAGTATTTGTCACGTAAGACCTCACCTTCCTAATGACTTCCTATATCTTGAAACGCTCATTCTACAAGTTTATGTAGGACGACATTGCACAGAAACAGTTCCAGAAATACCATGTGGGAATTAGTCACAAGTTCTCACCAACCAAAGTTCTGAACGATGCGTTCATTCGCACAGAATTGGATCCAGTTTGCGGAGCTGTCTGAAGAGCCTGGCAACCCAGCACTGGTTATTTTACTATGTAGTATTTGAATTGACTCAAAACCTCTTGTGACCTTTTGTAAACCATTGTGGAGGTTCCCAATGTACCCGAACTTTTGTATCTAGATTGTTACTTCAAAAACAGTTCCTCTCTCACTCAAGACCAAGTTATCTCTTCATTGTTATGGTGTTCGAATCGGAACAGAGGTCGAGTCATGCAAACCCGATACGAGGCAAAACCGCTTGTGGTGAGGATGTTTTTGCAATAAATCGTGACACCCGCGGTCGCCACCACTGTTCGTGTAGCTGTCTTCGCTAATGCCCACACACACGTACACACTCAAGTTTTTGCTTCTCCCAGCCGCTTCCATCTGGAGTGGTGCCTACAGCTGTTGATGTTCGTAAATCTTTGACCAGCGGACATTCTTCATCATGTACCGACAAGTCCGGACTAAAAACAGAAAATTTGAAATTGGTTCGCCTTTCTGGGCAAGGTACGTGTTTGGCCTTGTTTATATCCAGCCGTACGCGGGTATCTGCGATGGGCAGCCCTGATAGTCGCATGCTGCACTACGTGGATACTTGAGAAGGGGAGCATCCGGTGACGCTTAGTCCGTGATAAATAGGCGCATTAGCACAGCTGGCTTAGCCTAATTTCGTGCAATAAAACTACAGTAATCCATTTATGGAGACGGCTGTGGTGTTAGTGTAAAGAAAATAGGTGTTTCTAGTAACGCTTCGGCTTTGTCTCCTAACGTTGTCCTGATGTGCGTCATTCTGGGTCAAGAGTTATTCCCAAACAAGTTTTTTTTCCGTTGTGATCAGTGGCCCGCTAATGTGACACCCAAACTATCCATGACTGTGTACTTTTGTATGTTTATTTTTACCATCCAATAGTTTCCTTTATTGAATCCATTCATCAATTTCTTTGGAGATCTGACTACCAGTGAGTGGTCAGATAACCATCCTTTGACGTTTCACGATCTAAAAGGAAGATCCGTTAATTACAATAGCGGACTTGATGTTTATACGAGGATCAACCCCCTATCCACTTTATGTCTGCCTGATTTGGTATGCACACACGCCTATTAGTCACCGTATGTCGGTGAAGTCGAGGACTAGAGACCAACACGCCCATGGGATCTGCTGAGTTGCCCAAGGGCGTATCACATCGCCGCTTTTCTCTCCTGGTTTGAACCTTGGTAACCTTACATAATGGGAGCAATAACAATTGGGATTTACTGTACTGTAATTCTCCTGGGCCGGTCGAGATTTGCATTCCTATCACCTTTATGTGAACAGCACTCCTGTGCTGGCACCAAACATGGGGAGCAGTGGACTCGAGTTTTGCTCTAATTAGAGCTCATCGACAGTTCCGAGATATGAACCCGGGACAACCCGGGCGATGCAAGCGTGTTGTGACTACTTTACCAGCCCATGCTGGAGGTGCCGAAATTATCGCTTGTGGGCATGTGAACATGTTAGCATTTGAGTGACATGATTGGCTTTCCCGACGTCTTGAACGTCGGTAGTACAGAACTTCGTAAATCCACCTACATGCATGTTGTACCCCGATTCCCGTCAACTGAGCCAGTAAATTAGCGTCTTACCGAGTTTGCACTGTGACAAAAAGGATGAGAAATTTCTTGGTGTGATAATTTACTGCCGTCACCGCTAATGTGACGATCCATGGCCATGAATGTGTCGACGCGGTGTGCGGCCGCAAATGTGTGCCGCGTCTCGAGACAACAACATACTGCACGGGTTGGGTGTGGTAATTTACGGGCTTAAAATCGAGGTGTGGCAGGAAAATTTAACTGTTGAGCCATTCCTCTGCTTTACGGATGTCGCAGCCGTGTGCCATCAATTTAAACTTACCAAGCGCTACTGATGATGTATTGTATTCTTCCAGTTGCTTTCTCTGTTCCTTCTGAGCGGATAGGGGCAGCCATACACGGCACAGCATTTGCAGGCCCCGAAAGGCCCAATATTATTATCTGATGTGTCGAGACAGGATTTACTGTGTTCGCTATCTAAATCGACTGAAACTTTTGAGTTAGTGAATAGTTATCGAATTAATCCATGCTGTTTCCTCAATGAGAGTCGTTTCGAGTGCGCATCCCTTGAACACTCCCTTTGAGCGACGAGTAGCCTGTCAGGAAACCACCTTACCTAGTCACGTGGATCTTCCTACACGTACATACAGTCACGAGACACCTTACTTTTTTGTGTGAGATGAACCCTTTTTATTACTCATGAGGACAAAATAGGTATCAACTAACCTCGGCTAGTGGTGCAATGGGACACAAGCAAGGAGCGTGATATGGTGTTCTTTGCTTGTAAGACTCCCATACGAAGATCATCGCTGTGAAAGACGCACTCCCCTGATCTGTATAAATCAATTGGAATCGCCCCATATAAAAACTACAACTCTATAGGTACCGGCGACATATGATAGATTTCAGGCCAAAAATAACGCGCGTTCGGACCATAAACGCTAGTTTCACTACCTCGACTGTTAATCGAACGACAACTTTTTCTACCCAGTGGAACATCCATAAAGACGTTTTGGTACGCTGGATTCAGTCACTCTATGTGTGTACACATAATAGACGCAGAAGCCTACGGTACAGTATCTAATCCCTCTTTAGAGGGGGCACCCCTTATCGAGGCAGTGATTTTGGATGCACTCAGTTTCTCGGTGCCGGTGCTTCCTTGAGGAACGAGCACTAAAGTACATAATCAGATACACCTCCTGACGTCTATGCATGACCCTGTCCGGTACTCTTGGCTCACCTTATCCGACTCCAGGTTTCTGCTGACTTTGCACACTTCTGCCCATGCAGTTCTATGTACACCGTTGTCCAAGTGTGTCGTGCACGCTGGAGAACTTTGCTGTATCCACTACTGAGGAATGCGCTTATTTTATCCAGACTAAATTAAGCTGAAATCAGTGAGTGAAGGGTCTGAAAAAATGGATGCATATTCGGTTGCTTAGCTTTTGCGGTGATCTGGTAAGTGATACGCTTTAAAGGATAGGTGCTTCTCTTTGTGATACTCAGCGCACTCCAGATTACTTACTGTACTTGGTTACGTAATGATCCGGATGTCAGACGAACTTACAAGAATCGTCTTCTAGAGTCTCTTCCAAGTGCTCCACCGTCAGATGTGAACTCAGACTGGGACGAGATTGCTACCTCTTTGCATAGTGCTGGGAATTTTGCGTGCGAATCCGTAACGAGGCAGTTAGAAAGCGTGTTTTCGGTTGTGTAACGGGTACTTCCATTGAAGAATGTGTCCCGCACCAGAAGCTGCGTTGGTTGGGGCATGTTTTACGCATGCCGAACCATCGTTTGCCGAAGAGAGTACTGTTTTCCACGCCCAATTCGGAGTGGCGTAAACAGAGGGGTGGCCAACCCATGACCTGGTAGAGGAGTATGAAGGAGATCACGAAACGCTTGGGTGCTGTCGGTGCTACTCGCCTTCCAGGATGGGGACCGCGTGATCCTCACTGTGCCTGGTTGGAGACACTACAAGAGATGGCTGCCAACCGATGTCAGTGGCGTTCTTGTTGTCAGTTTCTATCCAGATTGCCTGAGTGAATGTCTGGAGGTGTAGGCACCTCGGAATGATTGTGTTAAGCTAGCACTAAGTCCCTCCCCCGTCCACCTTTATTCTTTTCTTTACAATAAGGCTTTCAAATAAGTCATGGTTGTATGGCAGTGAAGCATCGGTGTTGAGCACTGATGTCATGCTGTCGTTGATGATGACGTAATGTATATCAATATCTGGTGTCTCGGTACAGATGTGTCGGTAGCCTTGTGGGCAGATATAGTTGATACGGAAACGGTCCACGACTTCTCTCTCTTGCTCTCTTTTGC